ACTGACAGGACTGACAATGTGGAATTGGAAATTGGACTATGAGATGGCGAACGCTGACCGTCTATGAGGAGTAATTAGGTTTGTATTGTTATATTGGTTTTATTGGTTTTAGGGTTGTAATGCAGGAATTGTTGTTTATCTGTTCAACTGTTTAATTGATGTTATTTCAACAGGTTCCTGGACCATCTCAACAGCATCCACCCAAACATCCAGTTCACCATGGAAAAAGAAAATGAAGGAAGACTGCCTTTTCTAGATGTCCTAGTCATCCGCAAACCAGATCAACAATTGGGTCACACCGTCTTACAGAAAACCCACACACACAGATAGATATCTACATAAAACTCCAACCATCACCCAAGTCAAAAAAGAAGCACCATTAAAGCCTTGGCAGACCGTGCAAAAAGAATCTGCGAAGCCCACCTCCTTCAAGAGGAACTGAACCACCTCAACTGGGCTCTACAGGCCAATGGAGATTCCACCTCAGAGATGCAAGACCACCAAGAAGAAGCCACGAGAGTCAAGACCAAGACCCACCCAGAGGAAAAGTGTTCCTGCCATACATCAAGGGAACCACTGACCGCAGAGGGAAGCTGATGAGGAAACACAACATACAAACTATCTACAGACCCACCAAGAAAATCCAACAAATGCTACGTTCAGCAAAGGACAAGAGGGATCCTCTCACCTCTGCAGGAGTCTACCGTATACCATGCAGCTGTGGACAAGTCTACATAGGGACCACCAAATGCAGCATTGTCCAAACACGAATCAAGGAACATGAAAGGCACTGCAGACTACTTCAACCAGAGAAGTCAGCCATAGCAGAGCACCTGATGAACCAACCTGGACACAGCATTTTATTTGAGAACACAAAAATGCTGGACCACTCTCACAACCACCATGTCAGACTACACAGAGAAGCCATTGAAATCCACAAACATGTGGACAATTTCAACAGAAAGGAAGAACCATGAAAATGAACAAAATCTGGCTACCAGATTAAAAAAACAGAGAGGAAACAACCAGGCACATTAACACCTCTCAACAAAAGATTTTCCCAGGCTCAACCAGGCTTTCAAATGCTAATGAAGGTGGTCAGTTGAAACATTCACACCTAGCTCAGCAGGGAAGAGCTCTTTGCCCCACCCCAGCCATTCCACAGATATATAAACCCATTGTTCCTAATTCCAACAGACCTCACTACCTCTGAGGATGCTTGCCATAGATGCAGGCGAAACGTCAGGAGAAATGCTTCTAGAACATGGCTCTATAGCCCGAAAAAACCCACAAGAACCTAGTGTTTAATTGATGTTATTTTGTTTTACTACTGTTTATGTGATGCCGGCATCGAATTGTGCCTTGTAAGCCGCCCTGAGTCCCCTTCGGGGTGAGAAGGGCGGGGTAGAAGTAACCGAAATAAATAAAATAATAAATACTGGAGCCTGACTTGATTAGGTAGTTTAAGGGTCTGGAATGGCTCAGCGAAATTGGAAAGCTCTTCCAGGAATGATATGCTCAGTGAACGTCTTTAGTGACTCCCAGGTAGAGCTTATAAGTAACGCATCAGAAGCGACGCAGCTCCCTGTAGCATCTGAGAGAAACGAAGGGATGAAAAAGGCATATGCTCCCAAACAGGGATGTCATTATCCCATTAGTTTTAATGAGCAGCATCTTCAAGCTGGCTCATTAAATCACTGTTTAAGGGCTGCTTTAGGGGCATCCCAACAGCAACGTTTAGGTTTTAGGCTTTGCCTTATTGCTCCGACTTGCCTCCTGGGCCCAAAATACAAAACTATTGGAAAAGTGGGTTGTTGTAGGTTTTTCCGGGCTATATGGCCATGTTCTGGAGGCAATGTTTCTCCTGACGTTTCGCCTGCATCTATGGCAAGCATCCTCAGAGGTAGTGAGGCCTGTTGGAAGTAGGAAAAATGGGTTTATATATCTGTGGAATGACCAGGGTGGGACAAAGGACTTTTGTCTGCTGGAGCTAGGTGTGAATGTTTCAGCTGATCACCTTCATTAGCATTCAATGGCTTGGAAGGGTTTGGGGCAATCTTTTGTTGAGAGGTGTTAAGATGTGCCTGATTGTTTCCTCTCTGTTGTTTTGCTGTTGTAATTTTTGATTTTTTGAATACTGGTAGCCAGATTTTGTTCATTTTCATGGTTTTTTCCTTTCTGTTGAAATTGTCCACATGCTTGTGGATTTCAATGGCTTCTCTGTGTAGTCTGACATGGTGGTTGTGAGAGTGGTCCAGCATTCTGTGTTCTCAAATAATATGCTGTGTCCAGGTTGGTTCATCAGGTGCTCTGCTATGGCTGACTTCTCTGGTTGAAGTAGTCTGCAGTGCCTTTCATGTTCCTTGATGCGTGTTTGGGCACTGCGTTTGGTGGTCCCTATGTAGACTTGTCCACAGATGTGCTGGACCACTCTCACAGCCACCATGTCAGACTACACAGAGAAATCCACAAACATGTGGACAATTTCAACAGAAAGGAAGAAACCATGAAAATGAACAAAATCTGGCTACCAGTATTAAAAAAACTCAAAAATTACAACAGCAAAACAACAGAGGGGAAACAAACAGGCACATAAAATCACTCTCAACAAAAGATTCCCCCCAGGCACTTCCAAGCCATTGAATGCTAATCAAGGTGATCAGCTGAAACATTCACACCTAGCTCCAGCAGACAAAAGTCCTTTGTCCCACCCTGGTCATTCCACAGATATATAAACCCATTTTTCCTAGTTCCAACAGACCTCACTACCTCTGAGGATGCTTGCCATAGATGCAGGCGAAAACGTCAGGAGAAAAATTGCCTCCAGAACATGGCCATATAGCCCGGAAAAACCTACAACAACCCAGTGATTCCGGCCATGAAAGCCTTCGACAATACACAGAATTATAGGAGTTTGATACTACGAGGGTTGAATGAAAAGTAATGCCTCCACCTTCGTAACTCCTCAGTAGATGGCAGTACTGGTATGCAGGAGGTACTGGCTTGTTCAGTAGACTCTCCTTTACAGTTCCATTTTGGCAGGAAGCCTTAGCATTGAACGGTTGTGTTGTTAAAGTGTGAAGTACGGAACCCTGTGCAGATGGTCAGTCAATGCGACTTAAGCAACGTATGTTGCAGGTACTGGCTTATTCAGTAGACTCTCCTTTACAGTTCCATTTTGGCAGGAAGCCTTAGCATTGAATGGTTGTGTTGTTAAAGTGCGAAGTATGGAACCCTGTGCAGACGGTCCGTCAATGCGACTTAAGCAACGTATGTTGCAGGTACTGGCTTGTTCAGTAGTCTCTCCTCTACAGTTCCATTTTGGCAGGAAGCCTTAGCATTGAATGGTTGTGTTGTTAAAGTGCGAAGTATGGAACCCTGCACAGACGGTCCGTCAATGCGACTTAAGCAACGTATGTGGCAGGTACTAGCTTGTTCAGTAGACTCTCTTCTATAGTTCCATTTTGGCAGGAAGCTTTAGCATTGAATGGTTCTGTTGTTAAAGTGCGAAGTATGGAACCCTGCGCAGACGGTCAGTCAATGCGACTTAAGCAACGTATGTGGCAGGTACTGGCTTGTTCAGTAGACTCTCCTTTATTATTATTATTATTATTATTATTAACTTTATTTGTACCCCGCTAGCATCTCCTGTAGGACAGTTCCATTTTGGCAGGAAGCCTTAGCATTGAATGGTTGTGTTGTTAAAGTGCGAAGTATGGAACCCTGCGCAGACGGTCGGTCAATGCGTCTTAAGCAACATATGTGGCAGGTACTGGCTTGTTCAGTAGACTTTCCTCTACAGTTCCATTTTGGCAGGAAGCTTTAGCATTGAATGGTTGTGTTGTTAAAGCGCGAAGTATGGAATCCTGCGCAGATGGTCAGTCAATGTTGTGGTTTAACAGTCTCCTGAGCAGCCTGAGCAGCCTGATGGGTTTCAGTTTTCTCAGCCACAGTTTTCTCAGCCTGCAGTAGAGTTGGAGAAGCGGTTCTCACAGGACAGGAATGCAGCTGATAAGGATGAGGCCCAGGTGCTGCTTCAAAGGGATAACGAAACTGTGAGAAGGAGCTCGCAGATCGCTGCCAAGTTAGGTCAGTGACGGGTCAAGAGAGCAGTGGGAAAGTAGATTGTTTTGATGTGTAAAAGTATTTAGGGCTTTCACTGGCGATTCACAGCTGTCAGTTTCAACGTAGCTTTATGCTAGCAGCTTCATGATCCTGCATTGGGAGACAGGAGGCTTGGAGCCTGGGTTTCCTCGTGCTGCTTTTGGACTAAGTTGCTTGGCACAGGGTTTGTGCTTCCTGCTTCATGACTCTTGCTTATCCTGATTTTCTCTTAAGGATTTCTGGAACTGTACCATGCATTTTACTGAACTTTGGAACTTTGTATTGACTTAACCTTTGCCTTCTTTTCGAAACCTTACAATAAGGTTTTGGAAACCTTACAATAAGGTCTGGTGGTGTTTGAGAGCAAGGTGAAGCTTAATCTGAGGTGCAACGGTCAATGCGACTTAAGCTACGTATGTGGCAGGTAGTGGCTTGTTCAGTAGACTCTCCTCTACAGTTCCATTTTGGCAGGAAGCTTTAGCATTGAATGGTTGTGTTGTTAAAGTGTGAAGTACGGAACCATGCCCAGACAGTCGGTCAATGCGACTTAAGCAACGTGGAGTCACTGAATTCCTGACAGCAGAAGGTGTCACTTCAACACATTTAAACTTACTCGCCCAACGATGCACAGTTCTCACACCAACACAATCACCACAAACAGCTTGCATTCTCTGATGGATCTCCCACAATTCCTAACAGCCTACCGGCTGGAGGGCCAGAGTTTGCCCATGCCTGCTCTACAAGCTCAGCCCCTGGTTTGTGTACAAGTCTCCCTGCCATGTCTGCAAGCATCTCTTGCAGACTGAAATCATTACCCAGCACAGTGCTAGCAAAAAGGAATTTTTGTCCAGGTCTTGTCCCACAAACATCCCCCTGTTAAAGCTGTGTGAACTCACCTGCAGAAAACTTGTCAATGTCAACGTAGAAGCGTAACATGATCGAGCCCAAAATGAACGCGATGGCGGGACCCATGGTAGTCGTGGCAAAGAGGATTCCTGCAAAAAGAAAACAAAAGTCTACTCAAGTTTGCAGACAGGACTAAATGGGGAGGGAGAGCCAAGACTCTCAACAGATTAGAGAGATGATTGGCCAAAATTAACAAAATGACAAATGCAAGAGACTGCACTTAGGCAGGAAAAGTGAAATGCAAAGATACAGAATGGGGGATGTGTGAAAACATGTTAAAAACATTGTCATCAACCAAATAGCCAATTTCAGTCCAGTTCAACATCCAAGGTGCTGTCATGCTTGCTGTCCAAAGGGCTGGTCCCAGAGCCACGATTTAACCTTCTTCCTAAAAGAAAGGAGGGAAGGCGCCAACCTGATCTTGTTGCGAAGCGAGTTACACAGACATGGGGCCACCGCCGAGAAGGCCCTGTTCTTCGTCCCCACCAAGCTGGCAGGACCAAGAGCAGGGCCTCCCAGGACGATCTTAGTCTGTGAGGTGGGACGTAGAGGGAGATACGTTCAGACAGATAAGCTGGGCCAGAACTGTATAGGGCTTTATAGGCTAAGACTAGCACTTTGAATTGTACTCAGAAGTGGGCTGCATCAATAGGAGCCTAGTTCCTAGATCCAGGGATGTCCTGCTCCTCATGTTCTATTCCAGTGGTTCTCAACCTTCCTAATGCCGCGACCCCCTTAATACAGTTCCTCATTTTTGTGGTGACCCCCAACCATAAAATTATTTTCATTGTTACTTCATAAATGTAATTTTGCTACTGTTATGAATCATAATGTAAATATCCGATATGCAGGATGTATTTTCATTCACTGGACCAAATTTGGCACAAAGACCCAATATGCCCAAATATGGATGCTCGTGGGGTTGGGGGAGGGACTGGTTTTATCATTTGAGAGTTGTACTTGCTGGGACTTATAGTTCATCTACAATCGAAGAGCATTCTGATCTCCACCAATGATGGAACTGAACCAATCTTGGCACACAGGACTCCCATGACCAACTACTAGCAGGGTTTGGTGGGCATGGATCTTGAGCTTGCGAGTTGTTGTTCGCCTACATCTGTGGACTCAATGATGGATCAGGACCAAAATTTGGCACAAATACTCAATATGCCCAAATGTGAACACTAATGGAGTTTGGGGAAAATAGACCTTGGCATTTGAGAGTTGTAGTTGCTGGGATTTATAGTTCACCTACAATCAAAGAGCATTCTGAACCCCACCAACAATAGAATTGGACCTAACGTTCCACACGTAACCCAGATGACCAAGAGAAAATACTGTGTTTTCTGATGGTCTTTGGCGACCCCTTGGACACCCTCTCGTGACCCCCCCAGGGGTCCCGATCCCCAGGATGAGAAACACTGCTCTATTCTATTCTGCCTTGGTCAGGCCACACCTGGAATCACACTGTGTCCAATTCTGGGAACCACAACTGAAGGGAGATGTTGACAAGCTGGAATATGTCCAGAGGAGGGCAACTCAAATGATCAAGGGTCTGGAGAACAAGCCCTATGAGGAGTGGCTTAAGGAGCTGGGCATGTTAAGCCTGAAGAAGAGAAGGCTGAGAGGAGATATGATGAGGGCCATGTATAGATATGTGAGAGGAAGCCACAGGGAGGAGGAGGGAGCAAGCTTGTTTTCTGCTTCCTTGGAGATTAGGACGCAATGGAACAATGGCTTCAAACTACAAGAAAGGAGATTCCACCTGAACATGAGGAAGAACTTCCTGACTGTGAGAGCCATTCAGCAGTGGAACTCTCTGCCCCGGAGTGTGGTGGAGGCTCCTTCTTTGGAGGCTTTCGAAGAGAGGCTGGATGGCCATCTGTCGGGGGTGCTTTGAATGCGATTGTCTTGCTTCTTGGCAGAATGGGGTTGGACTGGGTGGCCCACCAGGTCTCTTCCAATTCTTGGATTCTATGACTCTACTCAGAAACCCACAGTATGATTTGAAGTTTCTCCCCCTGAGTTGCAACATCAAAGCAGGTTCTCACATATCCACATGTATGCATCCTTTGGGGCAGTTTTCAACGACGACTGATATTTGCAGTAAATTTGTTTTTTATTTATGGTTGCCTTCAAATAGACTCCATTTTCTGGCAGCGCAGGGGGTGCGTCTACACTGTAGAATGAATGCAATTTCACAACACTGAAACTGTCATGGCCCAATGCGATGGAATCCTGGGAGATAAAGGGACGGTCGGTCAACCATGCGTCCCCCTCTCCATGTGATAAGTTACTCAGCCAGGAAGTGAACGGATCCATTGTACAATGGTTGCTAGAAATGTTCAACCACAAGGTTGACTTCATTCCTTGTAAGGCAATGTTTCCCGTCCTGTGGGTCGGGTCCCCTGGGGGGAGGGTCGCAAAGGGGTGTCCGAGGGGTCTCCGAAGACCGTAGGTGAACTCTAAATCACAGCAACTACAACTCCCAAATGTCAAGGTCTATTTCCCCCAAACTCCACCAGAGTTCATATTTGGACATATTGAGTGTTTGTGCCAAGTTTGGTCCAGATCCATCATTGTTTGAGTCCACAGTGATCTCTGGATGTAGGTGAAGTACAACTCCCAAGGTCAAGGTCAATGCCCACCAAACCGTTGTAGCAATTTCTGTTGATCATGGGAGTTCTGTGTGGACAAGTCTGGTTCAATTCCATCATTGGTGGAGTTCAGAATGGTGTTTGATTGTAGGCAAACTCTAAATCCCAGCAACGCGAAGCGAAGGAAGAGGAGACTAGAGCGCGTGTGGCGTTCGGACCCGAGCGAGTTAAATCGAACACAGTTTGTTGCCCTTCTAAGGGCATATGCCGTAGCAATAAAGGCGGCAAAGAAATCCTTCTTTGCGGCCAATATTGCATCCGCAAAGAACCGTCCGGCGGAGCTGTTTCGAGTTGTCAGAGGTCTATTAAATCCCACCATTCCGGATGGGAACCCTGACAACTCGACGGCCCGCTGTGAAGCATTTGCTCGGCTCTTTGCAGACAAAGTCGCTTTGATCCGTTCCGGCCTGGATACCATATTAACGGCAGTCTCTGAGGATGTGACACGAGCACCTGCTTGTCCGATTTTGATGGATTCATTTCAATTGGTGAAACCCGAGGATGTAGACAAGATACTTGGAGGAATGAGGGCAACCACATGCATCCTAGACCCCTGCCCATCCTGGCTTTAGGCCGGGGCATGGTACCGAGACAGCCTTGGTCGCCTTAGTGGATGATCTCCGCCAGGAGCTCGACAGGGGGAGTGTGTCCCTGTTGGTCCTGCTGGATCTCTCAGCGGCCTTCGATACCGTCGACCACGGTATCCTTCTGGGACGCCTTGCGGGAATGGGCCTTGGTGGCACTGCTCTGCAGTGGCTCAGGTCCTTCCTAGAGGGTCGTACCCAGAAGGTGTTGATGGGGGACAACTGCTCGTCCTCACAACCATTGTCTTGTGGGGTCCCGCAGGGTTCAATACTGTACCCCATGTTGTTTAACATCTACATGAAGCCGTTGGGAGAGATCATCCGGAGTTTCGGGGTGCGGTGTTATCTGTACGCAGATGATGTCCAACTCTGTCACTCCTTTCCACCTACTACTAAGGAGGCTGTCCAGGTCCTGAACCGGTGCTTGGCCGCTGTGTCGGACTGGATGAGGGTGAACAAATTGAAATTGAATCCAGACAAGACAGAGGCACTCCTGGTCAGTCGAAAGGCCAAACAGGGTATAGGGTTACAGCCTGTGCTGGATGGGGTCACACTCCCCCTGAAGACGCAGGTTCGCAGCTTGGGTGTAACCCTGGATTCATCGCTGAGCCTGGAGCCCCAGGTCTCGGCGGTGGCCAGGGGAGCATTTGCACAGCTCAGGCTCGTGCGCCAGCTGCGCCCGTACCTTGGGAAGTCTGACTTGGCCACGGTAGTCCACGCTCTGGTCACATCCCGCATAGATTACTGCAACGCGCTCTACGTGGGGCTGCCCTTGAAGACTGCCCGGAAGCTTCAGATGGTCCAGCGCTCGGCAGCCAGGTTGTTAACAGGAGCGGCACTCAGGGAGCATACCACTCCTCTGTTGAGCCAGCTCCACTGGCTGCCAATATGCTACCGGGCACAATTCAAGGTGCTGGCGTTAGCCTACAAAGCCCTAAACGGTTCCGGCCCCACTTACCTCTCCGAACGCATCTCCACCTATGAACCGACGCGGACACTAAGATCTTCCGGGGAGGCCCTGCTCTCGGTCCCGCCTGCATCACAGGCATGGTTGGCGGGGACGATAGACAGGGCCTTCTCAGTGGTGGCCCCTCGGCTATGGAATGCCCTACCCATTGACATCAGACAGGCCCCTTCGCTGCTGGCGTTTCGGAAGAAGGTTAAGACCTGGCTCTACGAGCAAGCGTTTGGCTAATCAGTGCAATTAAACATAGGAAGACGGTATAATTGAACATAGGAATGGCACAAGGATTACGAGAATGGATTTTGCTTTGTTATCGAGGCATCATGTATTGATAATAATTGTGTATTTTGTTATTGTGTATGATGTGTTTTATTTATTATTTATTTATTTATTTATTTCTTGCATTTATTAACCGCCGCTCTCAGCCCTAGGGCGACTCGCGGCGGTGTACAGTACAAAAGACACTTACAAAAAATCAGAACAACAACTAACATCATTAATACATAACATCTTAATTACACTAAAAATCCGCTTCGTCATATTATGGAATCGTAATCAATCTCGTAGTCATAGTTCGTTCCGGTTGTCTTTACTAGTAACCTAGCACTTAGTTGAAAGCCTGCTCAAAGAGCCAAGTCTTCAGGCCCTTACGAAAGGCCATGAGGGAGGGGGCCTGTCTAACGTCAGCAGGGAGGGAGTTCCACAGCCGGGGGGCTACCACCGAGAAGGCCCGCTCCCTCGTCCCAGCCAAACGTGCCTGTGAGGCAGGCGGGATCGAGAGAAAGGCCTCCCCGGATGATCTCAAAGTCCTCGTGGGCTCATAGGCCGAGATGCGGTCAGACAGGTATTTTGGGCCGGAACCGTTTAGGGCTTTGTAGGCCAAC